TTATCCTACATTCATATATAATAAAACATTAATCACAACTAAAATGGTAATAATTGGTAACAATAAAAAGAAAACTGCAATAACAATTTGCCTTGTTTTGCATTTTACAGGTTACAGTTTTAACTGTATGGCTGTATATATGAGCATAAATAAGTAAACTGCAGCTCATATGTATATGAGCACCTGGAGAGTTGAACGTCAAGTAAATAAGGAAATTTGTAGAGGAAGCCCAGGACAATGGACACATTAAAAGTGCTCAGCTCGAAAGTATTTTTGGACATTGATGTTGACCGGACTTTGTGTCGTATAGTGTGTCACAATGTTTGAGGAATGTTGAAATGTTGATTGAAGACATTTCAAGCGCTTAAGCGAATAGTGATAAAAATGAAATAAACAATGTAATAAAATGCAAATTAACTATAGTTTATACGTACTTTTGGTCCACCTTGAATAATTCTAAGTAGATACAGTATATTCATACACACACACACACACAGCTGTTTTATCAATGTATACACACACAACAACATGAACATAATGCTATATGTCTAGCCACACACCCACTGAGAATCCTTCAGATACTCACTCTCAAACAACTACACCTATATTTGCACATATAATAATTTTAACTCACACACCATTGATAATCATTAGATGTGTACAGGAAAGAAGAAACAATAAATTAAAAAAAATTAGACAGCAGAATTTAGCTGTCAGCACAAAAATGGTGACTTTGATTGTGCTGAAATGCAAAAATGTCTACAATTTTGCCAGGCCTAGTGCCTGTGCAATATCAGACATTTTTGCAATGCCAACTTAGATGCCAAAATAAGATTATTATATATCTGAATTTAAAAAGGGGAAATTAGAGAATTTTTATGATTGATTGTAGATTCTTTTTTTCCTTTTTCTATCTTGTGTTAATAAAAAAAAAAAAATTTTTTGGTGGGTAAACAAGAAAATGACCACCACCACTTCATTTTAAAATTCTTTTTTTCACTATTACTAAAGATGGTTCGCTTGTGCAGTAAACTGAAGCCACACATTGTGTATATTACTGAGAGAAAAAGCTTGCATTTCCAAAGTCCATGCAATGGCACAGTATACTGCAAATCAAATAAGCAATTTCTTTAGTAGTGACAGCTGTGCAGAATCAGATACAGTATCACTTAACTTGCTGCCTAACATGGTCATTTCTTGTTCTAATTCTTCCTTCAGTCATACAGACTTGTGGTATTTTTTAAAGATTTTGCTTCAAACTCACACAAGTGAGATGATCTTTCACATACACTTAACTCGGTATTTTGACACAAAATGTGCACTTTGCAAGTGGCCTTTTTGGAGGCGTTAAAAAAAAATCCCACATTTTCTTTGTTAGTGTAATACATTAACCCTCTCCCTTTACTTTGTGGGCAATTAATTTGAATCAGTGCAGTGCAAGGTGTCACATTGTATCTTGGCAATAATGTTTTAAAATATTGTTGCTAATTTGATACCTGGTTCATTAAGGCTAATGAAAATGGAAATGTTGATGATGCAGGTATAGGTGAAACTCACTGGCGTACCTACCATAGTCGCAGCTGTGACTGGGCCTGGCCGCAGCCATGACCCCTGCGACAGTGGGTCGTCGCACAGCTGCACAGCTGCAGAGGTCTGGCAGGAAGGGAGAGCTGCACTGTGCTGCTCCTCTCCTGCCTGTGTGTAGTGTGGCAGAGCAGTCTGACAGGAAATGCTCACTGTTAGAGCACTTCCTGTCAGACCGGGAGATGAAGGGTATGGGACACAGGGAGGGGAGAGGAAGAGATGAAGGGTATGGGACACCGGGAAGGGGAGGGGGAATGGAGGGTATGGGACACATGAATGGTGCTGGAGGAGGAGGCTATGGGACACATGGAGGGGCTGGGGAGCGAGAGGGAAAAGGGACACATGGAGGGGCTGTGGGGCAGAGGGAATGAGGCACATGAGGGGACCTGGGTGCAGGAATAAGACACAGAGGGGGTGGGGGGGATTAGACACATGGAAGGGGGGCCCTAGTGCAATTTTCGCACCGTGGCCCAGTGGATTCTAGTTAAGCCTCGGGTGAAAGTGTTGGTGGTGGTGGTATTGGTGGTGCTGGTAATGGTAACACTGGATCAGTTACTTGTACTAGAGGTAGCAGGTGCAATGGATGTCACAACGGTCTATGTTGGCTGAAACGATGCTACAGCTGATACAGATAGACTTGAATATGGTGGATAAGATGCATGAGGCGAGAACTCACTGGCTGCTGCCTGTCCTCTCCAGACCTTCCTCCTCTAATTCCTCTTCTGCATCAAGTAGTTCATGGGCCAGCAATAAAATGCACCCCACTTTCTCTAGACTGTAAGCTTGTTTGAGCTGGGTCCTCATCTACCTATTTTTCCTGCAACATTTTGTAATGGTTTAATTTATTGTTAAATTTCCACTTTTATAATAGTGTAAAGTGATGCAGAATAAGTTGGCGCTATATAAATACCAATTATAAGAATAAGACAGATTATTGAAGAGAAGAGTAAAAAAAAACTTTTCAAAACTGTATATTGATAACCTAGTCTCACACTAAGATCATTAACCAAATGTCAATCTCTCACTCAATCTCCTATATGCCCCTGGCAGTAATTAGCTAACTAGATATAGCAGAAGGCTAAACCAAGTATCATACTAGAATCACTGACCCAGACTTTCTCCAACTTCCACACAGGCACAGCAAGGGTAAAACAGTCAAAGTGTCTAGAAAAAGGAAAACTCTTCTTAGAACTATACATTGTGTTAGTCCTCATCCTTTTTTCCTTTATCTATCAGTTGTCACTTGGTCAGTGAATAAAATAAAACATTTAGTTGCTGTCCTCTAGCTATCAATCTAACTTATTTTTGCTACCTCTTGATTGGATAGGCGATCCAGCTTATATAGGCTTCCAGTCCATAATGGCAAACTAAGTAGCCAATTTGTCGTCGACCTCCCCTCTCCCCCCCCGAAAAAAGACATCTTCTCCATTTGAACCCACATTTTTCTGGTGCCAGGAACCCCATTCTGTATCGAAAACTGAAACTATTAGACTTGTGCAAGTTGGTTACTCTGAGATATTGGCACATGTCAGCTCAGAAATCCAAATTTCAGTCTTTCATCCGAAGTCAGACAAATTCCAGTTTGGCACAAAATGAAGCTCCAGGTCTACTAATCATTTACACTCTCACATCTTCAATTTGTAGTATAGACTTTCAAATCTTGATTAATATTATGGCACAACGAGTTATCTATGGGTATTATAACCAGCAACCGACACCTTATCTGTACCATTGTACGCCACACATCTGGAAGTACCAATCTTGTCAACATTCCTGCATATACTAATTTACTTTTAAACATTCTTACTACCTATACACTACACTTTACTGTAAATGTAGAATATGTATCCTTATATTAAATACTTTGTTTCTAGGTTAAACCAGTAATATTTATTATACATTTGAAATTAAGTAACTACCACAAATAAATTACCATATACTAAAATATGTTTGAATATTTTATGCTTAATCAAGTTTTTTTAGATCTGTAACAGCATTTTTATTGTGGAAATATTTTTTTTTTACAAAAGCAAACAATACAGTAAGCTAAAAGAAAATAATTTAAGAACAGGGGAAGGTTGGCAACCTTTGGACTCTAAACACTAAATGCCTGTTTTGCTTGCAAAACTCACACATCCAATATCCAAGGAAATTTCTTACTCCAAATCTTTAGACCATTGAGATTAAGGGCCACAAAACAGGTGCAGACGCAAACATTGATGGACTAGGAAAGGCCCTGTAAAAAAAATTCCTACCTGTTGTTATACTCTTGACGTTTTCTGATCACAAACCTTCAGCTCCAATCAGAAGCAGACATGCAATTGTACCCCTTTTCTCCTTACTAGCCCTCCCCTGTTTTAGAGTTATCACTCAGCAAATTAAGTATATGAACAAACTATTTACAAAATACAATTTTATTAATGACACTGAGGCTCCTATTATGCTATCTCTTTCTTACTTTATTCCTCAGCAGCAAAGAGAAATATAAAACTGAAAGAGAAAAAATGAAGATATGCAATAATAATAACAGGTACAACCAGATCTGCCTAGTAACAAGGCAGCCAATCAGTCTCTAGGAACAGTCCATAAATGTCTATCCTTGTACTTCCACTTCCTCTTTCTTTGCTGCTGTCCTCAGACCAGCTAAGTATAATTTTTCTCTCCTACATTGTTTTGATTGATGGCTTTTGCTAAGGTTTTTTATTAACTGTGTTGTCTTATATTATCAATTGTCTGTTTGTTTGTTGGCTTTTATGTGCCTTTTTGGCAAGCCTTATGTGCTTTTATACTTGGGTGCCTCCTTTGGTTCCCTATTTACCTCCCCTGCGTTTGCCGCCGCTCCCCCTGTCTGTCTGACCGTTCCCCTTTCAGACAGGGTTCGCGGCTAGCAGGGGAGGTTTCTCTCTGGAGCCCTGTGCTCCCCGGCTCCCTTTCCCTCGCGGCCGCGTGTGCGGCCGCACTTATCGGCCGACCCGATCTCCCGCTGGTGCGAGGGAGTGCCGGCCGCGTGTGTGGTCGCGCTCCCCGTTCACTAGCGGGGGAGGAGCCTGGAAACGGCCACGGCGCGCTCTGCACGCGGTGGCCATCTTCCCCTCGTTTCTCCACGCGGCTGGGTCGGCTCCCATCTCCCTCCCATACTGTTGCAAGTATTGTATATGTAGTTTGTTCTGGTGGGTTACTCAACCCCTTTTTTCTCCTGTATAGGTTTATGTTTCTGTCATCTGTTAGTTTTATTTAAGCCTTTACAGATTTTGCTCTGCTCCTATATCAGATTTAAAGAGACAGTACTTGTTGCCTTTATTTGGTTTTTGATAATTATGCAGGCTAGGGGTGAGGATTTGGGTAGTCTCAGCTACCCCATTATGGACCCCTCTCAGACCCCCATTACAGGGGATATGGGCCTTACTTCCTCACAGGAGTTCCAGGCCCTTTTTGATTCCACCATGCAGAAGGCCCTGGCTTCGGCCATGGGGACCATGTCCTCGTCCCTCTCTCACACTATTCAGCAGGCGCTGTCGCAGCCTTTGGGCCATGCCGTGTTGCCTGCTCCCCTGCCTGCGCTGCAGCCTCATACGGGTCGCAAGGCACAAACGAAATTTAAACATGTCTCTCCAGAGGTGACGCAGGTGATACCTGCCTTGACTGACGTGCCTATGGCCGTCCCAGATGGCGCGTTTCCGCGCAAGAGAGCCGCTGGCCGGGCAAAATCGGCCAGAAAATGGAAACAGGCACGTGCCTGAGATGATGATGGATCGGATACCGATCAAACTGGAGAGTCAGACTCGGATCCCCCTGATTACGCCTCCTATGAGGAAGGGGTTTCCGGCGATGAGGCGGAGTTCGACGCTTCGGCGCTTCCTCCGGGTGAGGGGCAGGACATCTGTGATCCTCAGGGTTACCCCCTGTTCGATCCCGATGACCTTCGCCATCCCCGCTCGGCGGAATGGGACCCGCCCGCGCATATTGCCAATTACCTGGCGCTTCGTATGCGTACCCCCCTTTCCAAGGAGGGGCGCAGTAAACTGAGGGCCGAGTGCCCAAGGCCTTCGGTGCCTGATTCGGCGTGCAAGACGCCAGAGGTTGACCCCCAGATTTCTCAGTTCTTAACTAAGACGGGTTGGAAGCCCCGCAAAGGACTGGAATTTTCGCTGCATAATTGCCAAGACAAGATCTTGGATACCCTGGGCCCCGCCGCCAAGCTTTACGAGCTTCTAGAAGCGGCTAAGGCTGGAACGAAGCCTATTGATTTTGATGAAGCGATTGGGTGGGTCCAGAGGTTGATTTGCCTTCTCGGCAACGCGAACACAGCCATGTCGGCTGAACGCCGCAAGGCGATTCTGCTCAAAATTGAGCCCAAGTTAGTTAACCTGGCAGTGAAGGAGCCTGGTGCTTCGGCCAAAGGTATGCTCTTCGGAGAATGTTTTGTTAAGGACTTAGGCTCCTTTGTACGCACCTTTACCGCGCTAGATAAGGCGCAGTCTAACCTGAAGAGGGTGTTCGGCCCTAAGGTTTCCCATGGGGCCGGGAGGTATAGGAGCCGTCCGCCCGGCCGTGGAACTCGAGGTCCCCCGAGGACTCACAGAGGTTCCTTTTCCGCCCCCCGGACCTACCAAGACTATAAGCCAGCGCCCTTTTTTCCCTCACGGGGGAGACCATGGCAGAGTCGGGGAGGTCGTGGACAACCCTCATACAGACGCCCTTACGGTGAGTACATCAATACGTGTATCTTGCAGAACGAGTGTGGGGAGCAGATTGGCACTGTTTCTCGATGTGTGGGGTATGATCACCACAGATGTTTGGGTCCTCAGTGCGGTCAGGGGTTTCCGCCTGGATTTATTGTCTCCCCCTGTCCAGACGTTTCTCCCACAGGAACTGAAACTACCAGCAGAGCAGTCCGGATTAATTACCGCAGAGATCATGGAACTGTCTGCCAAACGGGCTATTCAAGAAATCCCCTACGGACACCCGGGATTTCTAAGCAACCTGTTTCTTGTCGCCAAGAAGGGCGGAGGCGTACGTCCGGTGATAAACCTCAAACACCTCAATTCCTTCCTACGTTACCATCACTTCAAGATGGAGGGCGCTCATTGTCTCAGGGACCTGCTCCGTCAGGGAGACTGGATGGTCAAATTAGACCTCAAAGATGCCTACTTGACTATACCCATGGCAGAAGAGCATTGGGACTTATTGCACTTTACGTGGCAAGGTCGTCGATGGCGTTTTACATGTCTGCCGTTCGGTCTATCTTCAGCTCCGTGGTGTTTCACGAAAGTGATGAAGCCATGGTGGCCTTCCTCAGGGCGCGAGGGGTCCGCATGATTATCTACCTGGACGACATACTGATTATGTCTTCATCCCCCAAGCAACTTCTCAGGCACCTAAGATGGACGGTGAGTCTCCTGGAGGGACTAGGTTTCCTCGTAAACTGGGAAAAATCCATTGTGACCCCGGTACAAAGGATAGAGTTCCTGGGCTTCGAGGTCGATTCAGTCACCCAGTTTCTGTTCCTCCCGGAGGCAAAACTCTGATTGATGAAAAAGGAGATACGATGGGCGCTGCGAGCCACCTCTCTCTCCGTCCGGCAATTGGCGAGGGTGATCGGCCTGTTGGCCTCATCGATTCAGGCAATATTTCCAGGCCCACTACATTATCGAGCACTCCAACGTTTAAAAGGGTCCCATCTTCGCTCAGGGGGCTCGTACGAGAGCGTGTTGACCCTGGACAGGGACTCCAGAGACAAACTAAGGTGGTGGTTGGACCACATGGAGGCCTTCTGAAGATGGCCATAGATTTCCCACGGATAATCGAAATGAGGCCGGATGTGCTTCTGGATCCGGATGGCAAATTGCACGAATTGGTGGATCAGAACTTACTCCAACTCACGGCTTGGTTAATCTCGGGAGACCCTGGTGTGTCACGGACGTTTCGCAGACAACTGCTCGACTATTGGAGAATGCCTGGGCACCAGGTACCAGAGCGGCTTACAAGACCGCATGGCGCGTGTGGTCTGGCTGGTGCTTGGGAAGATTGCTGGATCCACTTTCTGCCCCTCTAAATGCGCTGCTTGGTTTCCTGACGGAACGTTTTGATTCTGGTTTGGCTTATCGTACCCTTAATGTTTATAGGTCAGCCATTTCGGCCGGACATCAAGGGATCGACGGATCTCCGATTGGACAACATCCTATTGTGTGCCGCTTGTTGAAAGGTATCCGTTTTGCTAGACCGCCAAGATCTAGATACTCATCGTTTTTGGACGTTAACGTCGTCCTTGGATTCTTGGACTCCTGGCCCTGTAATGAGGACTTGACACTCAAGCAGTTATCATGGAAACTGGTCATGCTCCTGTGTCTACTTTCGTGTAAGAGGGTGTCGGACGTCAAGGCTCTGGACTGGAACGCGATCTCGTTCACCCCCGGAGGTGTGTCGTTTAATATCTCGAGGAGGACTAAGTCGGCTTCCAAGTCAGTGGACTACCCTAGATGCTCCATCAGACCTGCTTTGTGTCCTGTGGCTTGTCTCCAGGTTTATTTGGATCGTACCCGGCTGCTGAGGTCAACTGACTTGCCTCCACTCTTTATTTCCTTGAAAGCACCGTTTCTACCGGTCTCGTCGCCGACGCTTGCCCGCTGGGTTAAAGATCTCCTTTCTGCTGCGGGTATCGATACTTCGGTTTTTTCGGCTCATTCAGTTAGGGGTGCCATGGCATCAAAGGCTTCTACGATAGGATGTCGCCTGGATGATATCTTGAAAGCGGCAGATTGGTCTAAGGAATCTACGTTCCGTGATTTTTACTTCCGCCCGATTGAACATGTTTCTTCATTGGTTGTGGCTCAGCTTTAAACTAGCATAATAGGAGCCTCCGTGTCATTAATAAAATTCCCAGATTTTACTATTAACATGACGTAAAGTCATGATTTTATTAATGACACGGAGGCGAGTATAATTCCCACCCACCCTCCCGTGGGTCTGTCTGGTTTTCGCTTAGGGTTCAATCGGGGGGTTCGTCTTATCTCACGGTAAGTACACATGAGTTACTCGTATTGAACATATGGTGTTTTTAGAGTGTGACATATGTATATGGTTTTGAGTATGATGCTCTCTATTTGCAGGTCACGTATATTCGATATGTTGCACTCAGTTACTAAGTTTGGAGTTTACCACATATTTCTTTGTTTTACAGCTTGATCCCGGTCTGTTGATGTCTACCGGTTTGACGTTTCTTAGTTACTTCTTGGATATTTTGCTTTGGGTCTTCGGTTCGGAAGGCAAAGAAGAGGAAGTGGAAGTACAAGGATAGAGATTTATGGACTGTTCCTAGAGACTGATTGGCTGCCCTGTTACTAGGCAGATCTGGTTGTACCTGTTATTATTATTATTGCATATCTAAATTTTTTCTCTTTCAGTTTTATATTTCTCTTTGCTGCTGAGGAATAAAGTAAGAAAGAGATAGCATAATACTCGCCTCCGTGTCATTAATAAAATCATGACGTTACGTCATGTTAATAGTAAAATCTGGGAATTTACAATCTAAATTATTACAATAATGAATTAAAATATATCTTTGCAACAATAATGATTGACTGGTTTCTAATGTATTTGTTCAAAAATTGATTATTTTGGGAGTTGTACAGATCGGTTCTTTCAGGTGCAGATTAACAGAAATTTGATTTGTTCCATGCCGCTGAAAAGGATTTGGGCACATGTCTCATTTCTAAACTGGTATTATTTCAAAAATATTTGTTAGACAAACATTCATTTGACACAAATTCTATATATGAAATAGGATATAAATAGCTTTGTTTTGTTTGCATTTATATCCAAAGAATATTAAAAACAGAAAACAAAACAGTTTTTCAATATTATTGGAATAATACCTTTCACATATGTAATTAATCTAAAACTGTGAGTTTGAATCCAAGTCCCTAAGTTACTATAGTTCTTTTCATATAGACTACCCCATCGACAAATTACATCTATTATTCAGTGTTTTTTTTTTGTTTGTTTTTTTACACTTTTATAGGGTTAACTTCCGAAGTACATCATGCATTTTTTAAGTGATGGACTTCTGGTAAATCCTGCAAACCAGGCAACCTATTGTATTTCAATAAAAGGTTGATTCATTAAACTCTGAGTTAAGCAGAGTTGACAACCAAGTTGCATATTTCTTCAGAATTAGATTGGGAACATCTCCAGTTTGGCTGTTGAGCAAAAACAACTAGTTTGGCATCCTACCACATTTACAAGAGTTACTAAGTACAAACTCACAAACTGTAACCTTGGTTTAAAATCATTTGTTTTACGATGAGCATGGAATGAATTATCAAATTAGATTTAATATTGAATGCAGATTTTTTATTTTTTTTTTACTCAAAAATCTAGCTTCACTTACAGTATATTTTTTTATTAAGCAGAATATATATATATATATATATATATATTAAAAAAAACAAAAAACAAGAGGGCTGCACTTGTTGTGTATCTAAATAATGATCTTTGTTATATTCAGAGGAAGCCCAAATTATTATTACAAGTGCACATTTTAATATAGGATATCATTATATGACACCTATAAGCTTGAGCCTTGGAATCAAGATAAATTCTATCACAATCCCCTCTTTTGATCCAAGGGTCACCCAAATGTCCAAGGTATTTCCAGGCCTGCTAGCCAAAGCCTGTGGGACTTTCATTTATTGCTTCACCACGGTTCCCTTGGACTGAGAGACCACCA